AGGCCAAGACCATACCCAGAGATCATGGGTCTTAAGGCTAACAAGACAATTAACTCCTAAGAAATCTGTAAATAACAAAGATTGTGAAAGTAATAATTTAGGTATGACGTGGGAGAGTGGGCAGTCTGGCAGTTTTAAGGCAGGCTTGGTGTATGCTCAAGATTTGAGTTCAGAGCAGAGGTCCTAAAGGGGTTAAGTGATTCTTCATGGTCGTCTACACTTGGCTTTTCCCTCTCCACTTCCCATCAGAGTGAGGCACCTTCTACAGTGACGACTGGGACATGTGGATCAGCCATGCTCTGCCTCGGCAGAGCTGCCTGTTTATCAGGGAGGGTGAGACGAGGCACACTTCTGCAAATGTGATTTCATTCTTCCTCCTGTCAGCAACTCCTGCCTTCCCCCTTTTCCAGAGGTGGGGAAGCAAGGAAAGCATCCCCAGAAAGCAGAAGCAGGCACCTGAGGAGGGGCATCGTGGGAGTGAAGTTGAGCATGGCAGCTCTCCCTGCTGACTCCCCTGAAGCTCCGAGCCAGAGGCAGTTCCCTGCTGCTCCCCACACGGAATTGCATCACCCTCCATTAGAACAAGCTTGAGCTAAGAGTCAGGAGGCTTGAGTTTCATTCTTGCGCTGTCCCCGGACACTTGTGTGGACAACAAGCCAATTTGCCTGCCCTCCTGGATGTCTAGGCCCTTGTCATGTGTGCAGTAGGGTGGGGAAAGAGAGCATTTTCTGCTTTACTTTCCTCCCAGACATGATTTCTGGAAGGGCAGAAGAGTGAGGGTTTGGAAGCACTAAAAGTCACAAGTTGAGAATGATGGGTTTTTGCGGGAATACATGCTGTGACCAGGAAGTTCAGATATGTCCATTTGAATATGCACATTTTATCTAGCTTCTGGATCTAGCTTATTGAGCCATGTGCACATGCTACCTTCCACCTCATATGCTGTTTTTACTTTAATTCAGAATCACAGAGCTGATTGGTTACCACCCTGAGGAGCTGCTTGGCCGCTCAGCCTATGAGTTCTACCACGCATTGGACTCAGAGAACATGACCAAGAGTCACCAGAACTGTAAGTTCCAGCAGTGCGTCATTGGGCAACCTTGGGTTCATGGAATCTGGCCTTGAGTGGGGTGTAATTGATGGGACAGAAGCCTGGGTCACTTCCTTCCCACAGACACCATCCTGTGTGGTACGTAAGACTCATTCCTTCAAGATAGTTAGTGATCCAGGCTGCCACCAGCGTGTGTGTGTGTGTGTGTATGCGCGCACTGTGTCTGCATCACCAGAAGAGGCATTGAGACAGTTTATCATGCTCAAGGAAGAGAAGTGGGTCATTAGTGCCCAAGTTCTCAGCAGTCCTGGAACAGATCTATCTATCTATCACTTTCATGCAAATTAGCAAAAGCCTTTCTCCAGGGGCACACCCATGCCAAAGCATACAGCTTGGAGAGTGGAGGGTGGGCTGAGGCTCAGTCCCCACATAGTACCACCTCTGCTGAGAACACTTGAGCAGTCAGCAGTCTGAATAACCCTCTAGGAGATCCCTGTAGAGAATATTTGAGGACAACATATAACCAACTTAGGTCTGTGCTCTGTGCTACAGATGTAAGTACATCTGTGCATGATATACATGCATGGGGGAGCAGTTATGGGGAGAAAAGGCACTTGAGTTGGGCCTTGAAGAATGGATGGGGATGAGGCCAGGCAGAGGGAAGGCAGAGTGGGACCACTTCTTACATGTAAAATTGGAGCTTGCTTTCTAGGTCAGTATTCCTTTAGAGGAAGCTGCTGACTACACAGCACTCTAGGGTACAGAAACTGCTCTACAGCTTGGTAAAACCAGTGTAATGAAGGAGGGGTCCAAGACAGAGCTGGCCAGTAGAACCTTCTGCTGTAGAAATGTTGTATATCAAGGCCACATGTAGCCTATGCAGAACATGAAATATGGTTGGTGCAATAGAGGAACTGAATTTTTAAACTTAATTTTAATTTAAATAGCCATGCTTGGTAGCTGCCTACTGTATTGGGCAGGATAGTTCTAGAGTATATGCTTGACCAGGTTTCCACTCAGGATTCCCATTTGCAAGTGACCCAAAGTACTTTCCTTGAATCCAGGTATCATCAGCACGCACAGACTCTGGACCTAACACCCTGGTCTTGGCCAACAGGGACCATAGGAATTGGTCGAATTGATCTCTATTCTAAGGAATCTGATTTCCAAGGAACAAAGAGGCATGTGGTTTCCCTGGAAGCTAGATGACCAATACCTGTAACCTGGTATCACCAAATAAGTAAAATTTGGGAAAGAATAGACTCCAAGTATGCCCACATTGATGTAGACAGAGTTGCTGAGAAGAGTAGAGAAGGATAAAAATGGATTAAGTCTGAGAAGATTCCCAGTGGCCCTACTGGCAATGAAGAAAATGGTCCCTATTTATCCATTGTTCCTAAATCCATACTATATCCCATTGTCAGGACAGCTGAGGCTCAGAGCAGCCAACGGATTGGCAGCCCCCAGCTGCACGCAAGCACAGGTGACCATCACAGAGAGAGCTCTGCTCTTTCTCATTGGCCCTTCTGTTTCCTCCTGGTGGCTTTTGTGTTTGATCTGAAAATAACAGGGGTCACAGTATATCTCAGAGCAGCTTTTCTCTGTGGTTCCCGGCGAGAAAAATACACACAAGATCTCTAGGTGCAGACCCACTCAGGAACCCAGGGATGGGGAAGGGGGCAGTGTTCTTGTGTGCCATAAATGTGACCCAGCCCTAACCTGCTTCAGCTTTGAGGTTGTGGGATGTAGGATGTGGCCCCAGGCTTCTCTCTGGTGCTCTTCCCTCTGGTGTTTTTCTGACCCCAGAGGGATGGGTCTTGCTCCTAAGGCAGACGGGCAGGGTCAGCCATGCATGAGGCTATGGGCTCAGCTTTGACCCGCTCATTCCCCAAGGCCTGGCCTTCTGGACCTCTGTGCCTTTAGACATAAAATTTAGATAAGTCCAGCTTCCCAAACCAGGGGGGAAGCCAAAGCAGGGAACAAGTGTTAAAAATTTTGTGGGAATTCTTAGAGAACAGTATTGTACTTTATCTCATGGAGAAGTGGGAGCGGAAGAAACTACCATCAAAGAAACAAAACAAAGTGATTTTTTTCCTTCTTCAGACTTCTTTGATCTATATAAAGGAATCCACCTCTATCGGTTTTCTGCTGACTTCTAAGAAAAGTGCCAGGATTTTGTTGTTTTGTTGATGTTGCTGCTATTGTTTTACTGTTTAAGCATTAGGCACACTTAGAGGTTATTCATAGCCTGAATAGAAATCACAGGCTCCTCTCTTCTCCTGACAGAGCCATGAAAAGCTACTCTGCACTCAGTGCACAGCCTGCAAGCCCACATCCAGGAACGCTAAATCTGCATAGGTTGAAACAGGGTTAATGTCATTTATGACAGAAGTTGGTCTCCCCAGAGTATGAGGGGTATTGTGTAATTTGTCTCTGGATTAATAAATTTGCACAGATTTGCACTTGTGCTGTGGAGTAACTAGGTGCCTACGTTTGAGCCTGGTCCGTTTATATACTGAGGTCCTGAACTGTCACACGCACGTATGTGTCTCATCCTGTCAGTGTTTACCATTGAAGCGACCAGAGAAGCTCAGCCTTCAGCCAGATTGAGCTAATTGAAAGCCATCATTTCCAAGTGGATTAATAATTTATACATTGTCACTCAGACGAGAGGCTGGGGTCAGCTTCTCTTTGTTGTTTGGGGACATGTGCTCTTAGGAAAACAAGATTAAAGGCCATAAAAAAGCCTATCGCCCTACTAAGTAGCAGACCCCTCACCAAGGATAGCATTAATGAGCAGATGATTAGAAAGCTGCCGTTAATTATATTCTACTGACAGAGCAGGCCCTTGCCTACAATTACTAGAAATGCAGTTAAAACCTCGGCTTGCTGCACTGTTCAATCAAAAAGAATAAGAGCGCTGAATTTGGTTTGCATTAAGAACTGTCCAAATAATTAATGCCAGGCACTTGAAATTGTGCAAGTATCATCCCGCTGCAGCACGGAGCCTCGGCAGCAGAGAGAAGGGAACAGAAAGGCCACGAGGTACTGATTTGGTTGAGGAATCCAGGATGGTATAGGACAGTGGCAACAGCAGATTTTACCTCCCACTCATTTTTTACTCAATGTAGTAAGAGAATGTTGTTCTAGGAGCCACAGGACTTGTTACTTAGTCCAACTCAGTCACTGTTGTCCTGTGTTATGGGAACCGAGTCATGACTCTCCTGGCCTTACTTTCCTCATGTTAAAACAAAATGATATTTGTCATCCCTGTGGCACAGGATTTTGTGAAAAAAGATTACACTGGGATGATGTGATCACTTTGGAAAAAAATTTGATAGCTTCTTATGTACACTTATGCTTAACATATAGTCTAGCAGTTGCACCCAGGAGAAATGAAAATGTGTATCTATACAAACATTTTCACACAAATCTCTATAACAACTTTAAGACCGAAAACTGAAATTCAGACATCCAGGTGAGTGGATAAACTAGTTATGGTACATCTATATAGTGGAATGCTACTTGGCAATGAAAAGGACATGAGCCACAAATAGCTACAATAGCATGATGAATCTTGCAACAGGCTGATTTTTACAAAGCCAGACACAAAAAATGCATACTCTTGTATGATTCTATTTATATGAAAATCTACAAGAGGTAGTATATGACAATAAATAATTTAATCAATCAGTAGTTGTCTGGAACCAGGGGTAGGAATGGCTAAGGATCAGTTGCTAGGAGGCATGAATAACTTTGGGGGGAGTGATAGAAAAGTGCTTATACTTTCACCCTGATGATAGTCACTCCAGTGTATACATTTGCCAAAACTCATTGCACTGCACACTTAAAATGAGTGCATTTTTGAAGGTAAATTAAATCCATAGTGTTTTGAGATAAAAGTCTTGCTTCATATTTCAGGCTGGCCTTGATCTCGCTCTGTAGTTTAGGGTGGCTTTCAACTCACAGCAGTCTGCTTGCCTCAGCCTCCTGAGTGCTGGGAATACAGGCATATACCAATCCTAGAATGAATTAAGTTTGTTTTTGAAAATGAAAAGCTAACAAAGCCCAGAGTAGGAGTCTTTAATTTAGCCTCTAGTCCTGTGTGCTCTGAGGAAGTCTTTCAACAAGTCCCTCGACAGTTCTAAGCAAAAGGAAATCTGCAGGGATGGCAGTGCCTTCAGATGTGAAACCGGAATGTGAGGTTAAAACAGCACTAATAACCCTCACTGAGCGCTTGATGTGCCAGGCACTGATCTAACTGCTCTACAAAAATGAATTCACGCATGAGGGTTTGGACATTGCAAGACCCTATACACATGTAAGTTACAGTCATTCCTGGAAGCTGCTAGGGTTCAGAAGCGTTGGAAGGGGTCAACTGTGTCCAGCAAAACAGAAGCATTAAGGATCGCAATTATCATCATAAATCAAGCTCTGTTCCTCTACTGTACAGGGTTACTGAATGGGGAGGTGACCTGTGAACCAACTAGAACTGGGAAGACTGAGTGTTTACAGAAAGCCTGGTTATTCTCCCTTGTTATCTACAAATATGTATCAAAACTAGCTGTGGTGGGCCTGAGCCCTATACATATTAGTAGCTTTGGGCATGAGTCAGCGTTTCCTATACAACATTTGTGTAGCTGATAAACTAGGCAAGTACATCTGACCCTTGGTATAAGGAGCAGTGGCATACTAAAGGAGCTAATAATGACAACTATCCTTACGACCATTATCAATACCCCATTTTGTAGAAAGGGCAAAAACAGACCAAGGGTTGTACTTTTCCCACCCATCAGGCCTCTTCCCACTTCTCTGTGACTTGGGTGTAAGTACCAGCCTAAGAGTTTATCCTAGCTAGAAGCGAATAACAATGAAAGGCAAGACATAAAGATAATTTAGAATGAGGGGAACAGGAGGCTCTTGCCTCTAGTGGACAAAGAGCACTGAGCATTTGGCTTACCTCCCTTTTATTCACTTAGACAAGGGAGCAAGCAATTAGGTTAATGGAAGATTCATCATCTGCCTCTTATGATCTAGAGCATGTACCCAGGTAAACATCCAGGTCTCTGCTGTACTGACTCCTCTCTGGGACTTACATTGGGGCCAGCATACCTGCACGTTGCCAAAGGAGGCACAGCTTGCTAACTTTCCTCTTTTGGGTTTGCAGAAAGGTCAATTAGACCTCGATCCTCATTATCCGCTCTCATACACTTGGGAGGTTCTGAGCTGGAGTTTGAAAGAATGAATTCCCAAAGAATTAAAGCAAATAGGTTGAGAAACCTCCCAGAAATTCTAACAGCAACAGAGCTGGGTGTAAAGATTGATCAGTTCCAAAAAGCAAATGGAGCCTTCTGGACTGAGGATAGTCTGGGACGCAGGACCCCTTCTGCAATGCTTTTAAATAGTAAAAACACATTTTAAATGAACAAAATCTAGTAGAGGAAAGAAACCATAAGCAGGTAGCCTCACTGAGTAGTTGGGAAGAAGAGCAGAAGGACTTATCACCAGCCCTGTCTTGACTTCTACCCCAAAAGACCTGGAAAAATCAAAGGCAGTAGTAAACCTGTATTCACAATCAGTATATGACGAGGAGTCTGCTGCAAAGAGCGACCTTTAGATCAGGCTTTCTGCTGGCTTCTTGAAAGCCCCTTCCCTTCCTGGAGGGTGTGACAGGGAGGGGCCTCCTCCCCCTGGACTTGAGGCTTAAAGGAGGGCATGTGCTCCCCTTGGTTCTGCTTATAGATGAATCAGTTCACCCGTGCGCTTGGTTTGGTTAGGGCTGGTCGTGGGCCACAGCAGAGCTGCAGAGTGAGTAGGTTTCTCCCTCCTGGGTAGCTCTGGGCAAGCCATTTTTCTCTCTCATCATTTTCTCTGGTTCACATAAAGTGTTGGCAAGCTGATCTCTAAGCTCCCTCCCAGCTCATTCTCCCTGGCCTTCACTGCCCATTCCTACAGACTGACCTCCCCCACAGCTCTGACCTTGGGCTCCTTCCTCCTCCCCCAGTGTGCACCAAGGGGCAGGTCGTGAGTGGCCAGTATCGGATGCTCGCAAAGCACGGGGGCTACGTGTGGCTGGAGACGCAGGGGACCATCATCTACAACCCTCGCAACCTGCAGCCCCAATGCATCATGTGCGTCAACTATGTCCTGAGGTGAGTGTACAAAGGTAGAGGCCCTGGGAACTCCAGCCTCTAGGAATGGGGCACCATATCTGGGAGCCATTTTCACTTGTAGTCTGTATGTTCTGACACAGAGGACCTTCTACGGAGCTCCTAGGAAAGTGGGATCCCGGGGAATTTTTCTGCCCCTTTACCTGTCATTACGCCATCTCTCTGTCACAGCTGGGGAGGCAGATAGCAGCACATGGTGGTCACTTAATATTTTCTGGATGGAGAAACAAGCAGAATGCCCTCTCCAGCACCTGGGAAGATACCGGAGGAAGTCATTGCTCAGGGGAAATAAGTATAGAGGAGAAGCATCCACACAGCTCAGGCACAGTATGAGCAGCATCCAGATGTGCATGGTCACAGGGTCCCCTTGTCACTACCTCCACAGCTCAAACTTGCAGTTGGCTCTTTACAAAATGCCAACACACAGTTTCCCTCCCCATCCTTTGGTCTGAGAGGCTTGGCCCTCACAGTTCCTCTGTGCCTGAGAAAGCCAAAGATTTTGCTAGCAAATGTAAGGTCTGAACAGCTCTCTTGTCCCTTTAGTGAGATTGAGAAGAATGACGTGGTGTTCTCCATGGACCAGACCGAATCCCTGTTCAAGCCCCACGTGATGGCCATGAACAGCATCTTTGAAAACAGCGATGAGAGGGCTGCATCTGAGAAGAGTAACTTCCTGTTCACCAAGCTGAAGGAGGAACCCGAAGAGCTGGCCCAGCTGGCCCCCACTCCAGGGGATGCCATCATCTCTCTGGATTTCGGTGGGTGCTTCTTAGCTGGAGCTTCTCCTAAACCAGACTCGCCCCACCCCATTCCCACATCTCCCTAATAACCTATCCAGGCTCTGCTGGGCACAGAAGAACCGCATATGTCCCGCCTCTGACTAAAACCACCTCAAACCTGTCCTCATGAAGTGCTGGAGGACACTAGGTTGCTCTACAGGGAGGAGGAGCTCCTGAAAATTAAACATTCCAGGAAAGTGCTCGCTCTCTTCAGAGTCCGTTCATCGAATCACAGCCCTAGTCAGAGGCTCTTCCTGCCAGCTGAGCCCCTGACATCTATCAAGACCCTTCTAGACCAGCAAAGGGATTGTGGGTGTTCATCAGGCAGGCCCTTGTCTCCACAGGGAACCAGAGCTTCAAGGAGTCTTCAGCCTTTGGCAAGGCCATCCTGCCTCCAGGCCAGCCCTGGGCTGCCGAGGTGAGGAACCACACTGCTCAGAGCGAGGCTGGAAGCCTGCCCGCCTTCACCGTTCCCCAGGTGGCTGCCCCAGGGAGCAGTACTCCCAGCGCCACAAGCAGCAGCAGCTGTTCCACGGTGAGCCCTCACCCCCTGTGCAGATGTGAAGAGGGAGAGGCCCCTCTTCCTGCTGCTGCCAGATTGCTAAAGGAAAGCCCAGCAGAAGTACAGGGCTGCACCCAGCCCTAGCATGCTGAGGACACTCACCACCCGGGAATAGAACCCATCACTCGCTGTCAACATCTGTGCCGCACCCGTGTCACAGTGCCTAGTCCTGACCACCACACTCAGTCCCTGCGCACAGTCCCTCGGTCCAGTATGCTCCTCCAGACATCCCGTGAAGCCACAAAGCCTCCTGGTGAGGAGACCGAGGTTCAGAGAGTCGATGAGTTGACCTAGTTCACACAGCTCATAACAGCAGCCCCTTTAGGAACCCTTGGTGGGATGGAGCCGAGTGGGTCCGGGGATGGGTTTCTCCTTCCTCACTGAACGAGGGAGATGAGGGCCCTGGCCTTGACTGGGTCCCCGTCCTTCCTGGCCTCCAGCCCAGCAGCCCCGGAGACTACTACACATCTCTAGGGGATGACCTGAAGATTGAAGTGATCGAGAAACTCTTTGCCATGGATACAGAGGCAAAGGACCAGTGCAGCACCCAGGTAGGCAGCAGAGCAGAGCAGGCCGGTGTGGGTCCCCACCGTCTAGTGGGGGATAAAGGCTCTCACCAATCCTGTGCTGCAAAGACCCGGGGGAAGCATGGCTGAGGCCCACAAAATGGGCTAGGGTGCAGGGACAGGGGGCCTGTGGTGGCCGGTTCTCTGACCTGCCCACCTCCCACTTTACATCCGTGTCAGAGCCAGAGCTTCCATGTTTAACACTCAACTACTATCTCCTCTTTGCTTGGAACAGTCCCCCGCCCCCCGCACATGCAAACCACAGCTACAGCACTGAACCTTTAAGGGAAACATCCTCCTAAAGCATATCCAGACTTGAGACATTTCTCAGCATAGAGGCCAGTGACTTCCTTCACGAACACATTCATCTTGGAATTTTTAAGAATAATTCATTTTACTTGAAATGCATTTAAGATGACCTCTGAGATTCCTCATTTATATCTAGCTTCTCTGAAATGTGTCCACTACATAAGGCCATGTGTCCTCATACACATGACATAAAGGGAGGAGGTGGATGGCTGGGAAAGTACATCACAAAACCCAGAGAATCCGTACGCTGCTATGTGGATTAGTGTGGCTTGTGTATCTCAGTTCCCACCTACTGCCTTCATCTTACCTGGCGCAGAGTCCAGCAGTCCCCAAAACTTTTTGTTGCTGTTTCCCTTTGCTGTCAGGACTCCTGTGGGAGTTGTTAACATTTAAGCAGAACCGCGTCCCTGTGCTAGGTCCTGTGGTTGTAACCAGTAACCAAGCTGCACCCCAGGTGAGGGGCTCAGTCTCTGAAGGCAGGAATTGCTTCCTGCATCTGCCTGGGAGTACTCACGGTGGTGCTTACGGTGACACTGGGGACTGGAGGTGGCCTCCAAGCACCTGCTGATGGGAACAGAAGTCCCTCTGCCACTGGAAGCCACCTGTGCACCACAGCATCTAACTGGGTCTGGGCCTGTGCCTGGACATAGGGACACGAGGACAAGTTGTCCTCTGCCCTCTGGTGCCACAGGGTCACCACAAGCCTGGGCCGCGCAGGGGCAAGCTACTGCAGCAGTGAAGTGGGGCTTCCCGGGCGCTGGGGGCAGAAGCAACACCAATGGTGAACGGAGTGGGAATAAACCCGTGGAGCGGCTAACGTGCCATAACAGCCCTGCACACTAGCTGGCCATAGGGAGCCAGTGGAGGTGTTTGAGCAGGGAATGACACCGCGAGGCATGCTTGAGATGCCCGGGAGGGGCGGAGCTGGAATGGCACCAGTCACTGCACCTCCCTGTACTTGCTTGATCCTTCCTCAGACGGATTTCAACGAGCTGGACTTGGAGACGCTGGCACCCTACATCCCCATGGACGGGGAGGACTTCCAGCTGAGCCCCATCTGCCCAGAGGAGCCACGCCTGCCTGAGAGCCTGCAGCCCACCCCCCAGCCGTGCTTCAGTGCCATGACGAGCATCTTCCAGCCACTGGCCCCTATGGCCTGTCACAGCCCTTTCCTCCTGGACAAGTACCGGCAGCAGCTAGAGGGCGAGAAGACCGAGCCGGACCACCGGCCCATGTCCTCCATCTTCTTCGACGCTGGGAGCAAGGGATCCCTGCCATCGTGCTGCGGCCAGGCCAGCATCCCTCTCTCGTCCATGGGTGGCAGATCCAACACGCAGTGGCCCCCAGACCCGCCATTACATTTTGGACCCACAAAGTGGCCTGGTGGGGATCCGCACACCGAGTCCTTGGGGACATCACCATTGGAGCACCCCACTGCCTCACCCCATGTCTCCATGTTCAAGATGAGGTCAGTGGCAGAGACACTGGGCTGCATTGGCAGGGAGGGGACAGATAGGCCACCACTGATGGGACAGTCAGGGTCCCGGGGAGGCTCCCTGCACTGTCCCCTCTTCCTAGTCACAAGGTCCTCATGTTCGGGCCAGCCCTTCTCAGACTCCGAGAGCTCAGCTCTGGAGTTCACCTTGAGGGCCGCGAGGCCAAGCTATGATCCAGGATGCAGACTGGAGGTTTCTCAAACCTCAGCCCCAAGACTCTGCCCTTCAGTCCAGGTGAAGGCACTGGGCAGTGTGGGCTACAGACTTCCTCACAGCCGGCTCTCTTGGGCTTGGCAGGTCTGCAAAGGGCTGCGGGCCTCGGGGCCCTGACGTGATGAGCCCGGCCATGATAGCCCTCTCCAACAAGCTGAAGCTGAAGCGCCAGCTGGAATATGAGGACCGAGCCTTCCAGGACTCGAGTGGGGTGAGCTGGCACAGTATGGGGGGCACCCTTGCCGAGAGCCTGCTCTAGACCTGCGGCTGGCCCTGGAAGCCCTCTCCTTACACCCGTCTTTCTCCCATGCAGGGGGACCCTCCAGGCAGCAGCAGTTCACACTTGATGTGGAAACGCATAAAGCGTCTCCGGAGTGGGCCTGGCCCTTTGGTGCCGGACAAGTCCTTGAGGAACATCCATGTCCCCACAGGTGAATGGCCCTGGGTTCGGGGGAGGGCTGGGCACTAGGGGCCCTTCCGGCTTCTCCCTTCACTGGCCTCCTGAGCCTATGAGAATGGGCTAGCAGAATCTCTGGGTTCTGATGTCTTTCCCTCCTGTCACTCACTCTCCAACCTTGATCTTTCAGATGAGTTCAGCAAAACCCTGAGGGGCCTGGGCCAGCCCCTGAGACACCTGCCGCCCCCCCAGCCACCATCTGCTGTAAGCCCAGGGGAGAATGCCAAGCGTGGGTTCCCCCCACACTGCTATGCTGCCCCGTACCAGGACTTCAGCCTGCCATCCACTCACAAGGCGTCAGGTGGGTGCTCGGTGGCTGCCACGTTGACGGGGCTGCGCTTGGCAGGGAAATGGAGACAGACACCCTCACAGAGCATAGTTTCGTATTTGGAAAAGTTGCAAAACTTAAAACACTTGCCTTCATCGAGCCCCTGCTGTTCCTAAGTGCTAGGTGCCAAGTTTCCCGGGGTTGGGGTCAGGCAAAGGGACAGTACTAGGCAATGATTTGCCCAAGGAGCCCCTTTCCCAGACTCAGTCTCCCTCAGGTTTAGGCCCCTCCGGGCGAGGGTCTAAGACATGACTAGAAATGTTAGAACACCTGACTCAGGCTGGAGAAACTAAAGAATCCAAATCCTAGCGAGCTGGAGTTTGTTTTGGGGTCCTGTCCCTCAGCCCCACACGGGTGGGTGAACTGAAGGCTGGGGACTGAAGAGAGCATGTCTTTAGAAGAAAAGGGACAGCCAGGTTGGTAAGGAACCAGAGGCTGTGACTTGGTAGGGACTGTTGAAGAGAACATTGGGTGTGAAGGGGAGGTATACTAGTGCCTAGAGACAGGTATCACAAGATGGCAGGTCGTGGCTCTGAGTGCTTTGGAAGGAACCTTCTCACGACCAGGTTACCTCCAGGGCTTCTGCTACCCTAGGAGTCCCAGAGCCTGCATCTTTTCCTGTTTTTCGCATTGCTCTGTGGTCAGACTGAAGCTGAGCAGTAACTGTGCACTTCCGGGAGGGCCGTCTGGGGCTCTGGGACAGAGTGCCCAGCCACTGGACTCTGGCTTCTGCAGGTTCAGCTACAGTCACCAGAATGTACATGCAGGACCCAGACAACTTTGGGAAAGTGTTTGGCATGAGCATAATGTATAGTTTTAGAAAAAACATACCAGACCCTTGTCCTCAGCAGTATAGTTTGGGGAAGATTATAATCTTGTGCTCAGAGACCAGCCTTAAATTCCAGAACTGCTATTTACCAGCATGGATGGTGGGCCAGCTAGGAAGCTTAAATGAGAAATTTTCATGTCCTGTATTGAGCTGGGTGACTGGCATATGTCTGTGTCCCGTCAGCAGTAGCCAGCATTTTCTTCCTTTACGAACTCCCCAAGTGTCCTCCAATCTCATCTTATTTCTGACTGTGAATAGGAGAAGTGGCCATAGCAGCAAGGATCTGCTGATACCATTCTGGCATCTGCCCACAGAAGCACAGGCCAGTGGAGGCCGGAGGAGGAAGGAAGGGCCAAGGAGGATGAGGCCCTGCAGATAAGGGCAGGGAAAGCAGCTCACCCTGAGTGGCAGCATGTGGAGATGTTCTCTAGCACAGTGAAAGGCATGGGGTCTCCGAAGCCTTGAATCTTGGAGAAGGACCTGCGTGCCTGTGTGTTCTGTGTAGGCGAGCATGCGTGCCCGTGTGTGTACATATATGTATGCAGAGGTGCCAGGGTGTTGCAGATTCCCTTTCTTCCATGCTGCAAGTATACAGCAGGGGTATGGGATCCACAACGCCGGGCCTTGCCAGGCTGTACCTGGAGCCTCTTTCACTTGGGCTAGGCAGTCACACAAGGGCCACCTCTGCCTCTACACAGTCTGGCTCCCCCTTCCTTGGGTCTCGGTACCCCTGGGATAGGGGTGGAAGCAGATACATTCTCCGCTGGGCCCAATCAGGAAATAAATAGGTCATGGGAAAGGTAGGGGTGAAGGAACTCAGTGAAAGTGGAGCTGCCCCACCCAACCCCACTCACCTGAAAATGGAACCGCCTCTTTGCCGGTGTTTGATCCAGGCCTTTTTCTTTCAGGCATAGCAAGCCGGCTTCTTGGGCCCTCATTTGAGCCCTACCTGCTGCCTGAACTGACTAGATATGACTGTGAGGTGAACGTTCCCGTGCCAGGAAGCTCCACGCTCCTGCAAGGAGGAGACCTCCTCAGAGCCCTGGATCAAGCCACCTGAGCCAGGGCCTGGTGCCAGGCACACCCTGCCGACGCTGTCCTGCCAGCTTCACTCTAGATCTGTTTTTGCAACTAGGTATTTCTAACACCAGCATACTTTTTACAAGATGTACTTACCTGGCCAATTTGCCCAGGTCACCAAGCAGTGGCCTTCTTCTGAGATGCTCACTTAATATCCTTATTTTTAAAATACACAGTTGTTTTACCTGCTACATTTTGCTGTCCATGAGAATGTTCTTAAATTTTATAAGATCCTCCCTCCCCACCTTCAATGACTTCTAATTTATATTACCCAGAGTTTTCTCTCTCACACATCCACCCCATCCATACTAACAAGCCTGGGGTATGTTTGCTCTCCAGTAGGGAAAGCTTTGGCTTCATTTAACTAAGGTTTTTTGTTATTGTTGTTGCCAAAGAAAAAATGATTTTGCTTTCTAAACTTGATTTGTGGCTGTTCTCTCAAAGATTTTCTCCTTTGCTTTTTCAAAACTCATCACCATATTGTAAATTTCACTGTTGTTGTTGTCGTGTTAAAGCTGACTCTTTGCTCTGATTTTGATAGGACTTATGGGGAAAAAGGCAATGTGAAGGGTAAACGCCAATGTAAATGGCTACCTGTGAAAGTTGCGCAGTATGGCTTTTCCTGAACTGTGTGGTGCCCCCCAATCGGGAGGACTTTTTATTATTATTCAAAAGCATAACTGAGTTTTTTAAAAGAAAATTTATATCTGGGTTAAGTGTTTATCATATATATGGGTACTTTGTAATATCTAAAAACTTAGAGATGGAATCCTGCTCACAAGATCACTTTAAGATCTTTCCTGAAGCTGTTCATTTTCTTCTTCTGCAGTGTTGCTGACCCTGCAGAATTGTACAGTACTCCCACAGTCCTGGGCTAACACTGCTCACTCACTCTCTGCCGCCCTTTTGCTTTTGTTATGCCATAGGTGTGACAAACAATCCAAGTGGGAGCATGCAAGCTGTCTTCTCCTCGTGTTCTCTGTGTGTTGTGTATGGTTGGATGTGGTATTACTGCTGCCCAGAGGGGCTGCTGGCACATCAGGGGTGGGGCTGGGGAGAACGCTGAGGGAGAGGAACTGCTTTAACTTTCCTTAAGGTGGTGTTGCCAGCCCTTCAAGTGCACTGAGCTCAGTGTCTGTATTGGTCCCTCATGCAGCACATTCGGGTATTTCCAGAACTACCAAGAAATGGTTTTGATGGGAACTCATGAAAGCAAGTGAGGTTCCAGAAATAACCTGGTCTTGTCCTCCTAAGCTCATGACCTTGGAGCCACACTGAGAGAGGGTGCCAAAGGGAGGGTTGCAGCTCCTCACCAGACTTGCCTCTCTCCCGCAGCTGCGGCAGACAGCTCTGCAAGGCCATGGTGCAGCGCCCCCTGCTGGCAGGCAGCCCTCCAGGGATAGGCCCTTAACCTCAGGCCCTCTCTGAGATGTCTGTCACGTGAAGTGACGTGTATAGGTAGGAAGCACTGAAATTGTGTTCCCAGAACACTTTGTAACTCACGGGGTAAGAGGGACGACACCTTTTGGGTTTTAAATACCAATCAACATGGAACTTATCTGTCATGGCTACAATAAAAAGTTTCTAAACACACACAAAGCACATCAGGCCAAGAATTTGGTAAGCCTGGAGGGACTCTTTGCCAAAACCAAAAATTAACTTCCAAAAGAAATCCAAGTTATATGAGAAAAATAACATAATTACTGTGTTGCCTAATGCTTACTTTAGCATCACAGTGGGGCCCGCCATGCAGTGGCAGAACTTGAAGGGTTTTACTGACACATAAGTAGTGGTATTTGATTTCCTGTGTGTGTTGCCTCAGCAGTCAGGGCATTTTACCCCGGCAGTTTGACTAAAACACTTTGAAAAATATCTCAAGCTTCATATTAACCTTACCTGTCGTCATCACAACTTCATGAACATTATTATATTGTTGAATTCCTACTGACAACATTGTAACTGTATGGGAGCTTAACTTTATAAGGAAATGTATTTTGACACTGATATCTTATTAAAGTATTCTGACCCTATCATTACTGGCGGCTCTTATTTCCTGTGGATTTGTCACAGGCTGCACCAATGGAAAGTGAGCTATTTATTAAATAGTTTACAGAGCGTGAACATTGGCACTGACCTCGGTGAGACGGCTGGGTGAGCTGACAGGAACCCTGGGGAAGGAAGGGAAGAGTATCAATACTTGGCAGCTACATTTCTGCAGGTATTTTCTTCCCTGCCTCAGGGACCTTTTCAGGATCCTGTGGGGGAACCCAAGGACAGACGTCATGGTCTCTGCCTTCAGAAAGCTACACAAGGCAGTGTGAGAGCCGTGCGGGGCTGTGTGTGCCCACGCTGCACCAAGTGGAGGTTCCCAAGGGAAAGGGTGGCCTGCACTCCCACAGTCAGAAGAGACTTCAGTTTGGAGGTGATTGGGCTTGAGCAGGGAAGATAGAACTTGGATGGGAAGAACAGAGATAACCTCAGCACCAGACAGAGCAGCTCTGAAGCCCAGAACTGGTTATTGACTTCCTTAGCTCACTTGGGGCTAAGCAGTGCCATGGGCACTCATTTTCCAGGTGAAATGAAGACTCCTATTGAGCGATTTGCACAAGCCTCTGGTCATTTACAGGAGAAACATATCTTGAACCTAGTCCTGGCCCGTGTTTTTCTCCTCTTACACACCCTGTATTTTATGTGAGGACCCTGATTTAATTTTCTTTTCTTTGGTACCTGGAATTGAACTCAGGTCCTTGCACTTGCAAGGCAGGTAGCAGAACCACTGAGCTAAATCCCTGGCTCCCTGATTTAATTTTCAAATAGAAAACCCTTGTCTGTATTACATTAACTTTAGACCTCCTGGGGCCGGGGATTTAGCTCAGTGGTTCCACCACCTGCATTGCAAGCACAAGGACCTGAGTTCAATCCCCGGTACCAAAAAAAAGAAACCAAAACAAAACAAAACAAAAACTATCAACTTTAGACCTCCTGATTTTTATGCTTATTCTTCTCATTTTTTTCTCTTCACCATCTTGGTGCCTGAACCTTCAGGATGCATTTTCTGGGTTCCGCCTGGCTCCCACTTTTGCCTGTTATTTTAGACCCCCTGAAAATATCACCTGTTCTTTACTAAAGCTTTTCTGCAGCTGACACATCTCAGCCTGCCTTGAAGAGCAGAGTTGCCTCAGAGCATGAGGAAGTTGAGGACTCAAGCCTAGAACGGTGTTATCCCAGCCCCCAGCAAGACCCCATGGGTCTTTAATGCTGTTCTGGGGCAAACTGACTTTACCTATACCCAAGGCTGTGTGTGCCCTCTATCACCTAAGGATAGGGCACAGTTCAAGGTTTCGCTCCCAAGTCCAGCAAGGAGGAACATAGCGAAGCTATTATTCCTAATGAATTAGATGCACTTGGACCCCCTCAATTTCTCAAGCAAGAGACACAGGACCTACAGAAGCCTCATTTTTGTTCTGTTTCAAGTAATCCAATGATGACTCTGGATCAAATACACCTGACTTCATATTTTGTTTTTGAAAATGCAGGTGGCTTAGGAATAGATATGGGCTTGCATGCCCAGAGGTGCAGGGTCAGGGTCCCTGCGCAGAACTGGAAACTCTTGAGTTCTTGGGTCTCCTCCTGATTTAGACATGTTCTCCTCTAGGCCAGCAGACCCCAGTGGGGTGTGACATTTCCCTAACAGGAGCTCTCTGGATGAGAAATCTCTATGGGGAGAGGAGTCGGACCTGAGGCTGGAGGCCCAGGCCCCACTGGGTAGAGAAGGCCCGCTCTGATCCATGCAGGAGAAACCAATCCTGTGCCTGCATGGTCTCTAATGCACAGCTGAACTGTTTTTTCCAGAGATACAATGCAGACTTATCTCCTTTACAGTATGCAGGATTCAGCTAGCTACAATTTTTCTGTTTGGACCCTTGCTCATCTTCTGTTCTTTATGATAAAGAACTTTTACTGGGAAACCTGTATTAAGAGCGGTCACATTAATCTGGCCCCTCCTTTCCTGCAACAGGGATAGCTTAGGGTCAGCAAGACAGCACTCACTGGCTGTGTTGTCTTAGGCTGACTTGGGTGCTTTAAGGTACCAAGAAACACCATGGCCAACCCCATCACTTAACTTTCCAACCTTTCGTTTTAGAAACGAGGAGGCAGGCACAGGGAAAAATAGTGGCTTGCCTGTAGTTGCACAGTGATTAAATGGCCGGGCTCATGGCAGCATCATGGGGTAGACTTTGGGCTCCATTTTCTCCAAATGTGCACTTGTGCAAGAGTCCTATGGTGGGTTCAGAAACACCCACCATTTACAGATGCAAATGAGCCTCACCACCCCAGTGTTTTGGGGTAAAGTCTAGCTCCTGGAAGGGTTTAGAGGTCAGAGGTAAACTCTCAGACAGGAAAGGAGCCACCACGCCCTCCCCCAGGCCAGCTCCCAGTCTCCTCCAGTAGTCAGGCCTACGAGCCAGGGAGCATGCCCCCCCACCCGCATTCCATGTCTCCAGCCTGGTCTGGTGACTTCCCTCAGGATACTTTCAGTTCTTCTAAAATGGTCAGAGTCCAACCATCACTCCTCTCCAAACTTTCCCATGAACCCAGTGACCCCTGTGGGAACTGCTTGGCCTCTCAGCGACCTTGGTAAAGTCTTAATTCCTTCACTTTCAGACTGACTCTCTTTACTGCCACCCAGGACCCAGGAGCAAAGGGTTTTTAAATGTGCCCCCAATCCACCACACACACACACACTCGCTAAATAGGACTTCTAAAATAGGACTTCTCTAGTGAAGTCCTGATCCTTCTTTCCAAAAGCTTACCAGCTAGTAGAAGAC